TATAATTTCTGGTTTTACAACACAGTATGCTGGTTTCAATAAATAATTATTGAATTTTACCAAATTGATCTTTTACTTAAAGCTTCCCTCTATATAAAATTCCAGAAAAATGTTTATGGGAACAGAAAAATGCCAGAAAACGCAACTATATAAATGAAAACAAGTAAACCACCAAAAAGCCATCGTGCTGATAAGAAAAGCACATAATCTTGGTTTGAATATCTGGCTGGAAAGAACAAATAAGGTAAAATTCTTCAAGGTAAATCTGTGCATTGTGGACACTAGTAAGCCAATTCCCCATCACCAAGGTTTTATGTGTTCTTTTTTCCTTCTAATAGGTACAGAATCTCAAGGTAGTAAGGCAGTTTCCCTTTACAAAGTAGAATTAGCTATCCATCCTCGTCCTGCCTCCCCCGCTAACCATCTCCCCAGCGGCTACACACAAGAACCATTTATATTTACATTAAAAATGGCTTGGCCTGTGTACACTACATTGTTTGACAGGAAAGATGGATGTTCACTTATAATTAAGTTTCAGCATAAATGACATCATTCAGGAGGACAAGCATTCCCTTATTCCCTCGCTGCTGTTTTCCTCATATGGTATTATGGGTTACATGCAGACCCGGATGATTTTCCTGTGCCTTCTCATCAATGCCCGCTACTGCAAAAACTCAGTGACTTCTGAAAACCTGAAGGATATTTTATACTACCTCAGGCCTGAGCTCTCTTGGTTCTTTGCTTTCAGACAAGGAGCAGGAGGTATCAAATCTCATTGCTCAAAATAAGGTCTGTGAAGGGGCCATGGCAAGATCTCCAGGATGTTTATTGGAAATCCAGGATTTTGTGGTCTGTCAGAACTGTGGGATCAAAAACTATATTTTAAGGGGCCGGGGATTTAGCTCAGTGGTTTCGCCGCCTGCTTCACAAGTGCAAGGACCCGAGTTCGACCCCCGGTACCAAAAAACAAAAACAAAAACTATATTTTAAGATTCCTCATACACTGAGAGGTTGAGGCAGGGGCATCACAGGTCTGAACCCAGTCCAGGCAACTTAGCAAGACACAGTCTCAAAAAATAAAAATAAAAAAAGGCCTGGGATGTAGCTCAGCACGAAGGCCCTGGGTTCAATCCCCACTACAGAAAAAAAAAAAAAAAAAAAAAAAATCCCCAGGTGATTTTTCTGCATATGACAGTTACTAGTGCAATGGTCATAATTTTTACAACAATCAGTTTCATGGATAAGATAGGTTATTTGAGGGTTTTTTGCCTTATATGTCAGACAAAGAGTTATGTTTTCAAATTTTCTAATATTATTTTTCCTTACTATAGCAAGAAAACTATAGAATTATTATTGTTATCATATAATTCTTACATTACTCCACATATGTACCTAATAATTGTTCTTACAACCATACCAAAATAAATCACTCCACCTTTATTGTGTACTGAATATATTTAAGATATTGTATTAGATATTAACAATGTGGTGTTGGTGAGATGTATAGATGTCATTCCTGTCAACAGTAGCTGTTTGTTTATGTGTTTCTTGTCCTTCATCATCACGAGACTAAATATTCCAGTGCACAGGCCATGGTGTTCACTATGTGTTTCTTACCAAAATGATTAGCATGTGGTAGATACTTGCTAAATATGTTTAAATAAATTAATGACTCTATAATACTGTAGAAAGTTAGGTGCACAAGTATCTAAAGCCTAACATAATAAGTACTTACATATATATATACTTATATATATATATATAATATATATAGCAGCATAATCCAGACTTTCCTCCACTTCAATAAAGCTGATCTGCCTAAGAAAGAACTGAACCAATCTTTCACAAAATTTCTGAAGAATAGAAGGGGAAGGAGCAATTCTTAATTCATTCTAGTAGACCAGTATTCAGGTAGGCAAAATATTACAAGAAAACTACAGACTAACAGACCTTGTAAATATAAACACAAAATTCTCAATACAGTGTGAGCAGATCAGACTCAGAAATACATAAAAAGGATTGCACAGTAAAATCAAATGGAATTTAGTCCAAAAATACAAGTTGGTTCAATATAAAAATCGATCCATATAATATGCCTTATTAATAAGTTCAGGTACAGAAATCATATGATCATTTCAACAATGCAGAAAAGCATTTGACAAAATCCAACAACACACTTTTATGATTCAAAAAGCACACATACAATAAACTAAGAAGAGAAGGGCACTTCCTCATCTCAACAAATAGCACCTACAAAGAATCTACTACTAACATCATAATTATAAAACATGGAAATCTTTCACCTTAAGAACAAGAATAAGTCAGAGGTGCTTACTCCTATTTTTCTTCATCATTCCACCTGAGATCTATTCCAGGACAATTAGGCAAGAAAATATACAAAACACATGTAGTTTGGAAAATAAGAAATGACCTCTTTTTACAAATTACATGATCATGTTTACTGAAAAGCCCATCTACAAAATAACTATTAGAACTAATAAACAAGTTCATCAAACCTATAGGATCCAAGATCAATAAGCAAAATCAGCTGTATATATCTATACACTAACATTGAACAATCTGAAAATGCAATTATGTAAATAATTTCATTTATAACAGAATCAAGGCAAGTAATATGCTAAGTAATTAATTTAACCAAAAAAATGCAAGACACAAACTGAAAACTGTAGCTTGAAACAAACAAGACTTAAATAAATAGAAAGTAATCCTGTGTTCATAGATTGGAAAACTTAATATTATTAAGAGGACAATGTTCTCCAAATTGATCTATAGATTCACAGCTATCAGATCACAGCTGCCTTTTTTGGAGAAATTGGCAATTCATAGACAAATTCAAGAAACTAGAATAGCCAAAACAACCTTGAAATGGAAAAAGTAGAGGACTCACACTTCCTTATTTCAAAATTTACTATAAAATCCTAGTGATTAAGATTGTGTGATATTGGAATAAAGTTAGACATGGAAATGAATGAAATAGAATTGAAAATCTAGAAATTCATGCATTAATAGTCAATTGATAAAAGTAGATCCCTATCTCACATCAAAGACCTCAGATAAATCAATTTAAAGCCCTAAATGAAGAGCTAAAACTATGTAACTCTTAGGAGAAAAAATAGATATAACTCTCTGTGATCTTGGATTTGGCTGTGGTTTCTTAGACATGACATTAAAACACAAGCAATAACAACAAAAAATAATAGTTAAATTTGAATATGTTGAGATTAAAATCTTTGTGCATCAAAAGAAACAATCAAAAAAGTGAAAAAATAAAGAAAGTGAAAAATAAGCACTTTTTAGAGTAGGAGAAAATATTTGAAAATTATATATTTGATAAGGGACTCAGATCCAAAATATAGGAAACATTTACACTCAACAATAAACATCAAATAACCCAATTCAAATGAAATGTCCAGAGTAAGCAACTGAGAGATTCAAGAAATTGATTAGTTGTTACCAGGGGCTTGATAGAGAGGAACTATGTGTAACTGCTAATGTTAGAGTTTCTTTGGGGGGGGGTGATAAAAATAATCTGGAATTATACAGTAATAATATACTTTGTAAAACCACCAAAACTCAGAAACTGTACAATTAAAGTGTATATTTTATAAGTGAGCTATATATCAATTCAAGTAAGATTTATATGAAAAAATATGACGACTTTTCTTTCACAGCTACTCCTCTTCTACTTTATAAAAGAATGGCACTTCTCTCTCATCCATCTTGCTTTTAAGGTACATTTCCTGAAACACACTACCAAACAAAGAAATGATTGAAAACATCATCATCATGATAAAGTGGGTGACCTTAACAAATTCTTCAATAAGAAAGTTAGATTCCTACTACTTGATATCAATTAAACAGTATGAAAAACTAATCAAGTTGTCAAAGTATATCAATTTAAATAATTTTCCTGCTAAACCACAATATGATTTTTTAAATAACTCAAAATGATTTTAAGGAACAGAGTCCCAATATTGTTATAAAATTCTTTTGGTTCTTACCTATTTATATGAACAAGTCTTCTTAAATTTTATGTCTATAACAGTAGATACTAAAAATAAAATTAATTCTGAAATCATACCCATTCCACTAATGATATTCTTCCACAATACCTGAACTAATTGAAAAAAACCTCCATGCAGTTCATTAACAGATGTGTTTCAAATAAATTTTACTCCTTTGGTCTAATAGCAGTTTTTCAAATTTTGAAATAGATTTTATTGCTTTTGTTCAAATTGGGTACAATAGTTGTTTATAATATTAACTAAAGCAGAAAAAAATATTTCAATATCTCAATCTTTGTGGTTATAGAAAATTTTAAAATAGTCTTTAAATTTATATGCATATTTTTGAGACAGAATTATAAAAATTGTAAAATAATAAAACATTACATTATGATAAAATTCTTTATGGGGAAATGAAATATAAATATGAGTTCAAATAGACTTGTGACAATATAAAATTCTAACTCTTAAAGAAGAGCTAGTGCCTGTATTTTTAAATTTATAAAGTGTGTGTGTGTGTGTGTGTGTGTGTGTGTGTTAAGTGTGTATTGGAGAGAACCGAGTAAAAACAGGAAAAAGTTTTTTTTTCGTATCAAAAATTCTAAACATTGATAGCCTTAGCCTGAGACAAGAGTTTGGGCTAAAACTATGCAGGTTTAGATGTCACCCTTAGGGTGTAATGCAGGTAGTTCATTTTAGGAAGCTATGCTAAGAAACAGGAGAAGATCAGCAAACATGTAGGAGTAACACTCTGGTGAGAGTGTGTTAGCCCATACCATAGGAACTGAGGGTGCAGGTCCAGTAGGCACTGGCGAGGAGCCATGTAAGATGAGCTTCAGAATTGTTCAGCTGTTTCTGTCTCCTATTAGTCAAGGACTGTCCCAAGGAATGTTAATTTCCTCACGCTTTGAAATTTGTTGGTGCCTCAGAACGGTGTGAGAGGAGTCTGCAGAGCTACCATGGAGCAGGACTGACCTGTGCTGGAGTTGAAGTCATAGCTGCAAGAGGTTCCCTGTCACAGCATTGGCCCCAAAGCATGTATATCTCTGCCTGAAATAAAGGAAACAGTGATATGATGAACACTGATGTGCCCAGCATCCACCATTGACAATTACCTGGGCAATGATACATACGTATTTCAGCCCAGATCTCTGAAAGGCAAGGACTTTTTTTTTTTATAGTAAAATCCCAATGATGGTGGGCTTAGAAAATTTTATTTACTCTGCCCTCTGGAAATAATCAAAAACAAGGAGCAACAATAACGACAATAAAAGACAAGCAAACAAACAAACAAATACCTTTTAGATACTTGAATAGGAAAATATAGAAGAAACAAAGTATCAAGGACCACATTCTCATTTTCCCCCTCAGAAAACAATTGAATGTTTCCCATAATTAGCTGCTGTTAGCCATGTCCCAATATTGAAGAATTGTTATTAAGTACTTGGATTTTAATATTTTAGATAATAATGTTTTGGGGGGTTATTTACTTGGTATGCCTCCCAACCTTCTGGTTCTAATTCTAAGGAATATCTCTGCATTTATACTCAAAATAAAATACCATCAATATAATTTTTAATGAATTTGGATGCATTCTGAGATTTCCTGTATATTCGACTTTTGTTTTCTATCCCAGATCTCAAGATGTCCTCTGGAGGTATACCCAACTACCTATTAAGAATGAGAGTATGTATTTCATCCAAGTTTAGAACCCATTCCATAGATATAGGGTTACAAACCAACTTGAATCTTTTGGTGTTCAACTTTGTTTATTCTTGGCAAAGCTCAAAAACCTTAACAGGGCTCAAAAGATTTCTTGGACATGGACTTTAAGAAAAAGGGTTTTGATGAGTAAAGCATAAATGAACCAGAACCCATATGGATCAAATTTTCCTCAAAATACACATGGGTTTAATAATTAATGGAAAAAGTGCTTCTAGCATGCATTTGGGGTTTTATCAAACCCCAAATATTTGGGGAAAAGTAGTTTGATAGGTTCAAAGAACTCAAACTCTGATTTGATGCACCCACATTAATATTTCTTGATGTTGAATAAAAATGAGAAGTATTTAGGTGTAATAGAAAACAGATACTGAACTTGTTCAAAATTTATATGAATGAAAGAAAATAGCATAGCACTTCAAAATTTATCTGTGTTCATATTTTTAATGTCTTTCAAATAATCTCTTAACTATACTTTACCTCAGCATATTAAGTTTTGAAAGAAATTATTGATTGCAGTTGAAAAAATGAAAAAGAAAAACTGAATGAATCCTTTGAAATGTATAATGTCATGAAATCATCTAAGTTATTTGCAAATATTTCTGTCAGAATCAATAAACCTCTAACATTACAGGATAAATTGTGTTAATTAAAGAATGGCAGTATTTATTTAGAATTTTCTGGAAGCTGTTTTTAAATTCACAGTACTGTTCCTGTACATGTGACTAAAATTTAATTTTTATCTCTTTTATTCTAAGACTATCACAATCAGCTCTAGGATATTTCCTATCAGAGCTTGAACATTAGGGTTTATGTACCATTAGTATGTTCGTATCTCAAAAAACCACTATAACTGACAAAAATTATCAATTTCTATTGAGTACATGAACACTCTAAGAATCTTGAATCAATCAGAAAAATATCATGTTTTCTTTATGTAGACTTGAGAGCTACTATTTAAAATAATAATCAGTGCATTTTTCAGACAAACAATGTGCAAATTTAACGTGGTTTTCAACTAAATATGAGTAAGGTAATTCAGACCAATAAAATTAATTTTGAATTATCTCATCCTTCAGCCCTTATTGAATTTTACCGCAATTATTTCATGTTTAGTATAAATTTCACGCAAAATAATAACGATCTCTCCTTTTTATTTACACCTGTTCATCTGTAAAATAAAATGAATAATTTAATGCTGTATCAAAGTATACTGATCTGAAATAACTTCCTAAAGAGACATAGTACTTTAATCATGAAAAAATAAATGATAGGTGTTTTGTAATTACTATTTTTTTAAAAAATAGGATAGAGAAGGGAAAAAAGTATTCTCTTTCCTAACAGGAGTGAAGCTTGGGGTTTTATTAAGGACTCACATGTGGGGATGTTTTCCTGAGATTTTCTCTGGCATATGAGTCAGCAAGTTAGCTACGAGAAGACTTAAGAAGGAAGATCTCAGCAGGGATTTCCTTAAACATGGAGGAAGGACCAGACTGCTGGAATACGGTCACACTATATTCCAAACAAAAACAGTTGCTTGGAACCATTCATAAATAATCCGTAAATGGAACTGAACACCACAGCCACAGACACAAACTACTGTAAGACAGCCATGCACATAGGTTGCCAGAAACCCAGCAAAGCCATATTAATGATAAGACCCTTTAAGATAAGCACTTATTAATAATCAGTGTGCCAGTGATTTAGCTCAGTGGTTCCGCCGCCTGCCTTGCAAGCGCAAGGTCCTGAGTTCAGTCCCCGGTACCAAAAAAAAAAAAAAAAAAAATTCAGTGAATTAGGTTACTGACAATTTGGCCATTAGTTTGCTGTTTATAAATCGTATTTTCCATGTATAGTAACCACAAGTCTTTGACGTTCATAGTAGTGTTGAAAGAAACAAGTTTATTAAAGAAAGAGAAAGAAAAAAAGATTGTTCCTTTAAAGTTCATCAAATTGTACATGTCAACCACGAAGTAAAATTCTACACTTGAAAAAAAGAAATGCCTGGTGTATGGGATAGGAAAGTACTGTGTGTATTCATTTCACACGTGCAGCAAAGAGAAATCTAAGTATTCCAACCCTTAAAGAAACATAATCCAGAGTTTATATCAGATGGTTTATGGGAGTTTATTGGAATATACAACAGGGTTCATGTCGTGTGTCACAAGGTGAAGCCTGTTCATGGGTGATTTACAAGCCGCATGTGCCGGCGCTACTGTAATTTATAGGACGCAGATGGTCCTGCTGACTTGTAGCTGAATCAGGACCTAAGCCCTGTGTGTCATCTGCTCTGGGTACCTCAGGCTCACTTTCCAAAATTATGCACCAACATATTTCTGCTCTTAATTGGTAGATACCAGAGATCCTTACATTCTTATAAACTCAGCTTTAAAATGTGAAATTATAGAGAAATGGGAAAATATTTAGGCTAGAAAAACACGATTTTCCCTCCTCTGCCCAAAGAAAGGTGCTCTTGGTTTCTTAACTTCCTTTAAGTAGTGTAAATTGATAGGTTTGTCATATTATGTTGGTAATAGGCGAACAAAAGGATACATTTCTTTTTTAATGTGTCTAAACAATGGATCTCTGCTACCCACCCCTCCAAAGAATTCTTAAAAAGGAAAGAGGAAAGCTCTATTTTTTAAATTATGTCTCTTTCAAATACAAAGGCCCCTTCATCTCTAGCCACCTTCAAAACTGTTCTATAAATGTTTCTCTCTTACAAATTCCCTTATAACCTCAAAGGATGTGGTTCTAATAGATGGTGTATCAATGTGAGATGAATGTTTACAGAATTGAATGTAAATAGACTGACCTTTTTCCAAAGATTGTTTTATCAGCACTTTAATCACAGATTAAGGTACACGTGTTGGTTTTGAACTTGCTTTCAGAACCTTCATTGGAAGAGTACAGCTCTTGTTCTGGTGCTAACATATTTCTTGATACATTTGAACCTCTGTTGGCCAAGGGGCAGTTGGAGAAAAAAAAAGGACCCTTGAAACTCCAGTCGTGTTGCTCAGACATCTCCCTTTGAGCCCTTTATTGAGAAATTGAATTGAACAATCCAGCAATCGCAAACATGTGCTGTAGTAACTCTTTCCAGCACCCTTGCACACTGCCACCAAGAGCTCCTATTTCTCTATGCTGGCCAACTCTTGCAGCTCTTTGGATGACAGAAAAGACAAAAAAAATGACATTTCTAGCGTGTTCTTTATTAATTTAGCAGGAAACATGGTACCTCACCTTTATCCAGCACTGCCCAATAGAGAAATGTGAACCACATATGCAATTCTGTTTTCTAGTATCCACTAGAAAGAAAAAGGAAAGAAGGAAGGAAGGAAGGAAGGAAGGAAGGAAGGAAGAAAAATGTTTTACACAACCCAATATATGTAAAAAAAATGCTTCCCAATCAATCAACATCAAAGCATCACTAACATTTCTTTTACCTTCTCTTTTTGCACTATACCTTCAAAATCTTATGTGTATTTGGCACTTTGAGCACAGCTCCATTCAGACTGCTTCATTTACAGTACTCCGCAGCTACATGTGCCTGGTGGCTGCTGTGCACTCATGGAATGCTTTTCCGCCAAACAAGTTGATCTGGAAAAACTGAAGCAGGTAACAACCCTTGTGACCTTTTTCATAAGTGGCCATTTATACATGTTAATGCATTAAAAATATGTGTATGGTATGTGTGTGTGTGTATATATATATATATTGTTTTCCTATAGAGCAAAGGAAAATAAAAAGTCAAGAGAAGAACCAGAAGGAGAGCTGTAATAGAAATAAAATTGACAGCCTCTCAAAACTCAGGTGGCACTTTCCTTTTCCAGTTAATTACGGTTTTAATTACATGGCTTCTTGCGACTCCTTGATACCTAATAAACCAGACTCTGTGGGGCAGCCAAGTTGGGTTTTGCTTGAACTGCAGGTGTAAGACTCAGCATGCAACATAAATCAACTTCTTAAACATGTTCCCAGGGTGGATTCAAGCTTTTTCTTCCTGTTTGCTTGTAAAATCACATCTTTTCAACATTGTTGGTAAAGAAATGATTGAAGAAGCTTTGGGTTGAATAATAGCTTTGTGTTTTTGACTCACTTGGCCTGGCATAAAACATTTTGCCTTAGATGAAATAGACTAGCAGAATACATGATGTGGGTTCTTTTTTTTCTCTTTCAGTCTTATAAATAATATATATGCCTAAGTATTGACCATTTCATATAGAAAAATAAATGCCTGTTAGAGAAAACAAAAATGAAGGCCCTGGGAATACATTGAGATTTCTGGTTTGATTATTTGGAACCCCTAAGACCGTGGAAGATAAATTTATTCCAACAAAGTGCTGTGTTAGGTCAATCAAGTTCAAACAGGGGAGAGTGTGTGTCGACTTTACATGCATGTTGGGGGGGTTGCTGCATGACAATAGAAAACAGCAAGCAAAGAGAGCATTCCCAAAGTTCTCATTGGCTAAAATCCCTGCAGCATCTGATGGCATTATGAGCAGCTTGCAATTTAGCCTCAGCAGCAGGAAAATCTGCAGTTGATCAGCTCTGCCACAACTAGTAAATGTCACCATGGTAAATGTGGATTTCAATAGAAGGTTTTGCAGTGCCTAGTGATAATTCTGCCAGTTCTCCTCCCTTCCCTCCTCCATCCATAAAGAGAAAGTACAACATATGGTATTTGCATGTTATCACAAAATATGAGATACATGGTGAAATAAATTACATGTGAAGGGGGTTTAACCCATAATTTCTAGTAATTACAAAAACATGAAAATGGCTTTTGAAGTGGGAGAAAGGGCCTTTATCCTTGGGGGGGACTTCAAAACACATGACATACTATATAAACACAAAAGCACTCACCTTGCCCAGGCCTCCTTTCTTCTCCTCAGGATCCTGTCTAATTGTCAATGGTGTCTGTGTTCTAACAAGTGGCTTCCTTTTTCAGATAGGGATGATTTGAATTCAAGCTCCTTAATAGTAAAATGTTGTTATGAATAGGAAAGTTCAAGGGAGGTTGGTAAGGGAAGGATGTTGCTGCAAATTAATCATGATCTTCTTGTAAAAGGAGATCCAAAGTTGGTTCATGATTTGTTATTGCTCCCACCAAATTCCCGTCCACAATGCTAAATCCTAAAACATGCTTTTCTTGTCTCCAGTGCTCTGTATTTATTCTACTTCTCAAATTCATCTTTATATACTGGAGATTCCTACAGACATCAAGGATCAAATTCATAGTCCCAGCATAGAAAACATGATGAAACCCTTTACAAACTCTCATGTCTGTCTCCAAATGGCCCCAAACCTTTTTTGCATTTTGAGCAAAATATGTGCAGGATGTATTTATAGGCATACACAAACTCTGGGCAACCAGGCATGCACTTCTTTATATTTTGTTTTTATATTAATGATGAAGAACTAGAACCCAGACTTCACAGAGTTTTATTACAACTGCAACCAAAGGAGCTAGTGGATATAGGTTTTCTGTTCACCAGAAGTCTTTACTTATGTAAATATAGGTTAAAAATATATAAATATGGGTTAGGGTGCACACTAGTTAGCTAACAAGTGTTTGTGAAATCTGTTCCACTGTGTACTCCAGGGCACTGGTAAATTACACTAAGCACCCAGTACAAGGCCTGGAAAATAGCTGATGCACAATAACTACTGGTTGAACATAATAGAACTTAACTGAATTTAGTGCTTTTCATCATTTCTGGATAGATTAAGATACAATGAGGATCTAGAAAACCAATTCCATAGGTAAGTTTCAAGTCCAGTTGGTGCACAATTAAAGTGTTCATGAAGTTGTAGGAAAAGTTAGATAGACTGCAGCTTAGACCTTTCCTGAATTCCTCATAGTTGTTTCTCAGTTAGTGTTCCTGGCTGGCCAAAAAATGTCTAAGGAAATTATCTACCCCTTAGTGTCAAAGTCATCTTCTCTGAGGCAATAGGGTTAGGGGGGAACAAGAAAAATACCATATAGTAATCACTAGCATGTGGATGGCCCTGGAGTGCTTGAAAAGCACTCTCATATATCTTTTAATGTTAATGTGTGTAACAATCTTAGGCAGTGAATATCATCATCTTCATTGTATACATGAGAAAACTGAGGCTCAGATAAATGTGCCTGAGATCACAATCCTGATAAATAATAGACTGTGGATTGAAACCCAAGTTCTAACACTAAAAGACTAAGTCCTATTTTAAATAGTACTATTAATGACAATGTACTATGTATGATAGCTTTTAAAATACCTATTATTAAAAATATCTTTGCCTCAACCAAATCATTGTTTTCTCCCCCAAAGTAACTATTGTCTATAAGTACTTTAGCATTTTTAAGGAAATTTAAGTATATATACAAACATATATATACACACACACACATACAAACAGGGGCATAATACCCATGCTCCTCTAAAAATGCCTTTCTGAGAATTGATGAGCATTTATATAGATTCTCATTACATACAGAACTACAAAATTGTTTTTTAACTTTGTAAATGTATTTTTACCACTTTTCTATTGGTAGATATTTAAATTTTTTCTAGAAATTTGTCATTGTAAATTATGCTGAAATGAATATCCATGTACATGGTGGCAGTCATTCGTTTTCTTACAAGATTCCTAATAACTGGTTATCCATGAGTGCCTTAAATGCCCCAGTTTGAGGTGACAGATCCAGGGCCAGGACTCTCACAGCAGCTGTGTAACTAGGAAGGAACCCCTTGAACCTCTGACATTCAACTTTCTCTGATATAAAACTATATAATACAGTAAGGTCTCGAGAACTAGAGGTGTTCTGTGTGGTGGAAAAGATCTAATGTAACTGCAGGATGGCTTCTAGTCCTCACTGTACCAGTAACAAGATCATTGGTACAAGATTTGATATAGCCTCTTAAAGTCTAGACGACCAGTAAGACCATGCCCTCCCTCTTCCAAAAGAGTCTATGGGAGAAAGAATAACTTTTTTGTTCATAATGTTTGCTGGCAATGCATAATCATCTGCATAACAACCCTATGGGATAAGTATGTAAACTACACTTGAATAAACTCCATGATGGAGCCTTCCTCATCCTTGCCCTCTTTCTTAGACACTCACATCCTCCTTTGTTTTGGGAAACACTGCAGCAAGTTGGAGCTTGTGACTAAGGCATGAGTTTTTCAAGATATCTCATTCCCCTGGTCATAGTTTCTGGGTCTGTCATGGGTATACAAACAAGTTGGATCCAAAAGACACAGAGACCTTCTGGGTTAGGAACTTTCTTACTTTGTAAGAAAAGTAATTGTAATTACTTTTGTAGTTACCAGTTCACACCCACTTCCCCAGCCAGTCTACCATGCCCTAATCTCCTGCCTCACCATGACTCACATGTGTACTTCTTCAGTTTAGCACCATACTAAGGTACACTGGGAAGGACAAGGTTTGCCTCTAGTGCCCTGCACTTCAGAATCCTCTTCCCTTGGAGACAACCAGAGCCTTTGACGGCCTTAGCCTGAAGCAAAAGGCTATGCTCTGACATCTGCACTTACTGGATTTGTGGCTTACTCTTTTGCTGCTAGTCAGCCATTCAAATTTTATTACTAATGGATTAATAAATTTTTATTATAAGCTTTTCCCAAGTGCATATTTGTATTTTACCAGAAACTTTTGAAACTTTCACTCCAAAGAGAGACTAATAGAAGACAGTCTAGGTACCAGGTGCCCTGGGAGATAGGTAGATGCGATTTGATTTTCAAATTGTTCTTATGCAACTACACAGACCACTGACAAGAGTAAAAAGACATTAAATTCACACTGTATGAACTGAAAATTGGTCAGTTCATTTGAAGTACAGCAAAAATGTACACGAATATATGTAACCTAAAAAAATAAGAAATGATTAGCAAGAGAATTATATTTGCATTACTAAATCAGAAGTAATTAACCCTTCTTGAACATGAATGTGCCAGACTGTTTATAAACAACCATACACACATACATATATACATGAGCACACATGTATATATCATATGCATATAATGCCAACAATCTCTTTTCCCTACTTAGCTGATTAATTCTTAGAAAAAGCTCATATTAGCCTGGCTATCCATTTCCTTGTTTTTATCTTTCCATGGCTTAACTGCTTTTAGATTGACTCCTTCCATATAGCATTGTTCTCATTATTGTGCTTTATCCATATAAACAGAAGGAAAGAAGGAAAAAAGGAGGGAGGAAGGGAGAAAAGGGGGGACAAACCAATGGAAGGAAGGAAGAGAAAGAAGGGAAAAATCTAATTAACATCAGAAATAAGTTGTTTAAACATATTTTCAGTAATAATATGAAAATTGCAATTACATTTCTTAATTTTCCTTCCTGCCATAATTTATACTTCAATGTTTTATTAAGTTGATTACTAGGAAGAAATAAAAGGACTTCACCAATAATTAATTAATTGTGCAATTAAAATCACACACCTGAATCTTCCACAAATGTTTAAATAAGTCATTTTTAAAAGAATTAGTGCGTAGCTGCCTTTCCAGATGTTTCAAAGGCAAACAAATGTGTTAATTAGCATACTTTAGGACTTGAACTATATTTAAGTCTCTCCCTTATAATTTTGGCTTTTATTTCTACCCTAAATTCCTTGAGTAGAAGGAGGTCAGAACCTGGCTTACTACCAATAATTAATATTGGAAGAGTAAATGAATGTTTTGTGAATCGATAATTAAATTTAAAGGACAAAGAAGCTATGTATTATTTGCATGAATTAGGAAAATCTACCAAAGTTAAAATTATAAGAAAATCAACCTACTGAAATAATAATGAGCACACTTTTTTAAATAGCCACAAAAAACTTTTGACATGTATTAGCTCTCATAATCTTCACAGATGGCTGTAGAAGGAAAATACTATTTATTATTTTCATTTGTGATTGAGGAAATTGAGTGAGAGTTTGCCTGTTTTCAGTTAGTGTGTTGCTGAATTAGGTTAGCACTGAATCTAAAAACTCTGAATCCCATGTATCTTGTTTTTACTACTCAGCTCTTTCTCCCAGAAAAAATGAGGATTTCAATAAATCAAAAAAAACAGCTTAGGAGAGCTATGTGAAGGAAGACAAGCAGAAAACTTTCTCATAGCAAGGAATGAGGATGTAAGAAATTATTGGACAAGCCTATGAAAACCCCATGAATTAGGATGGAAAGGAGGAAAAGCTATGGAGTTTTAAAATAAAGATTTATTGGGCCAGGGATTTAGCTCAGTGGTGCTTCTGCCTGCCTCACAAGTGCAAGGTATGGAGATCAATCCCTGGTACTGAAAGAAAGGGAGAGAAAGAAAGAAAGAGAGAAAGAATGAATGAATTATTTTCTGGAGAAACAAGCTGAAATTGGCTTACTTCAGCAAAAATGATTGCCTGACGGAGGGAAGGAAAAAGGCCAGCAGAATGAAATCTGCTCCACAGGGCTCTGAAGGTCTCCACCGTAGTGGGAAACTGTGGGTGACCAAAGGGTAAGGGGACACTTGCTGACCTACAACAGTGCAGATGAGACATCTTTTCCAATATCACTTCATTAGAGGATGATTAATAAGGTTGTTATCAGAAGAGAAGTTGTACAACAACAATCAGGAAAGAAAAAAAATTGACATAAAGACCCAGTGGTCCAAATCCATCATTTTTTTTTTTTTTTTTTGTACCGAGGATCAAATTCAGGTCCTTGTGCTTGCAAGGCAGATGGTGGAACCACTGAGCTAAATCCCTGGCCCTCTATCAATTTTTTTTAATCAAACACACAGGCCCACTGCTAGAACACAGCAAGAAAAGAACCATATTCCACAAAGAAGATAAATCAGAGAGTTAGCAAGACATTCTTGTATCAGAATTGCAACACCAAAGATGTGGGTTAACAGACTAAGAACTTGCCCTAGAGACTCCAGAGGACTTCCTTTCCAAGAAGTCACAGGTCAAAAATCTAAGTCCAAATTTATTTA